CAACCTGATGTAATCCGCAGACTGCCGATTACTACAGACTGTACTCAAGTTTCACCCCTTGGATTAGTCTGTTTTCTGTCACTAGTAACACAGACTGGTAAGTTATAGAGAAGCGAGCTTTATCTGGCTGACACACATGTAGGTGCCAGGGGAGGAGCCACATCTGACGATGGTCTCTTCGTTGGCAGGGTCCCTTGGCACTGCAGGGCGGCACACGGTGAGAAACAGAGAGTGTGCAAACGTAATACGCATATTTTCTAGCTGATCTCCCTCTTCTTAGAAAGCCACCAGGAACCAGTCTCAGGGACTCCACCCTGATGACTTTATTTCCCCCTGACGACCTCCCCAAAGCCTCACCTCTAAATACCATAACTGGATTGTTTTCATTCTATTGATATCTCATAATGGGCCACATCTCAAAAGCCTGGGGGACACACAAAGCACACCCGAATCACAGCACCCAGGGTCCCGACGACGTCCTGTGTAGCAAAACCATTGGTCCCAGGATCCCACCTAGCTCCTGCATTACGTTTTGTTCTCCTGTCTCTAGTCTAGCTTTTAAAAATCTGAAACAGTTCCTCGTCTTTCATTTCACAACCCTGAAATACTACCTAGCTGGAGAGTGTCCCGTAATTCGGATCTGTCCTACAATGCTGCATGACTGGACTCTGTGATGCACTTCTGGCAGGAGAACCACAAAAGTGATGCTATGTCTGAGTCGATTGTCAGAAGGCTTATGACATCTATTTGGCCCAGGACTGATGGTGCTAATCTTGATCTTTCGGTCAAGGTGATACCCATCATGTTCCTCCACTAAAAACACCATTTTCTTCCTTTTTCATTGACATGTGTCTTACAGGGAGCTACTCTGTGTAAATGTATGACTTCTCATTGACTCATCCCCACTGGTTTAAGCAGTCAATGATACACTTATCTGTCAAAATTAATACTCAGTGCTTGTCAAATTGTGATTTTGCTAATTCCTCCCTTTATTCTACATTCATTAGCTGTCCATTAGGAAAGAAAGTCTGCTCTTATACCCTACTTATTTCCCTCTTCATTCACATATTTCTACAAATATAGACATATGCATTTGCCTTAACTAAGAATCCCTACCTACTGATGTCACTTGGTTTTTCCTGAAGTTTAAGTTCTAAAAATATATGTATTTATCTATAAATATACACATAAATATGCAAATATAAACATATATATTGCTGGGAGTTGAACTTAGAGCCTTATGCATGCTAGGCAAGTGCTGTCCCAGTCAGCAATACTCTCAGCCCAATTTCTACTACTCTTTAGACAGTTCAGAAGATTTCTCCAACCTCTCTCATTTTCCTTCTCAAATCATGCTATTCCCTCATTATGTGCACTGCATACTGCACTTGCTTGCCTAGGCTTAAGCAGTGGATCTCTGGCTTAAATTTCTCTGTTTTCTCCATAAATCTTCTACCTGGTCCTCATAGGGAACTTAATATGATGGCACAGCAAGACAAAAGCAGGGGAATATCCTGTAGGGTTCTACATATCAGATCAAATCTCATCATTTTGTTGACATTCTTGTCCCCTTCCTATTTTTTCTTGTTTTAAATTATTCTAAAAGGTAGATCAGAATAATTTGCACTTGCATTTGCCAACTTTTATCATTCAGATGCTGCAACTGTGGCGGTATGTTTTAAATTCCTCCTTAATTTCTGGCTCCAAACTACGTCCTTACTTTCTCAGGGAGTTGGGCATGAAATATACATTGCAAAGTAATCAGGACAAAACTCAGCCACAGAGTCTTATATTTCCTTCCAAATCAAACCTCTCTGTAACTTTCCCATCTCTGACCAGAGCAATCTCAGTCTTCCAGGCCTGTCAGGCCAAAGATGTGGAAGTCAACTTTTAACTTTTTTTTCCAAATCCACATCTGCCCAATCAGCAAGGTCTGCTGGGTTCTAAATACAAGAGCCCCCACTCCTCACTGTCCCTGCTGTGTACCTGTAACTCGTGTCTACTCACCAGCCTTCCCCCAGCCCGTCCTCTCCCTCTCCATCCCCAGCCTCTGGTACCCACGACTCTCTTCCCAGCTCCTCCAAAACTGACCTTTTAAACTACACGTGAGTGAGAGCATGCAGCACTGTCTTCTGTGCCTGGCACATTTCACTCATTTTACCTCAAAGTAATGTCTCCAGGCTCATTCACATTGTTGCAAGTGATAAATTTCATTGTTGTCCCTCCCAGTACTGGGAATTAAGTGGACTGAGCTATATCCCAGTACCTTTTCTTACTGTTTGAGACAGGCTCTTCATAAATTGCCCAGGTGGGACTTGAGTTCACGACCCTCCTGCCTCAGCATCCCTAAGTGCTGTGATTACAGGCATGCACCATGGAGCCCTACTTGAATTTCATCTTTTTAGATGTCTGAGTAGTATTTCATAGAGTGATCTGTTAAACCAGAGTTTCTATCAAATCCTCCCACCCTGGAGTGTAGATTGGTGAAACCACTGCGGAAATCAGTGTGGGGATTCCTCACAAACTAGGATTAGAAGTCCCACTTAACCCAGTTATTCCCCTTCTGGGAATTTTCCCAGAAGAATTAAAAACCATACCAAAGCCATATATGTGCACCCATGTTTATAGCAGCACAATTTGCTATAGCTAAATCTTGGAAACAACCCAAATGCCCATCCACTGAGGAATGGATAAAAAAGATGTGGTATTTTTATATAATAGAGTATTACTCAGCTATTAAAAAAGATAATCTTGAGGCTTTTGTAGGTCAATGGATGCTACTAGGATCCTATTCATAAGTGAAATAAATCAGACCCACATGTGTAAACATCATATTGTCTCCCTGGTGTAGGAACCTGAAAGTCTAGGTAAAACTCAAAACATACAATAGATGATATGAAAGGGAAAGAAACTGCTCAAAGGAAGGAACAACTGGGATGAGGGAAAGAAGAAAAAAGAAAGTAGGAAGGCTCTCTCTCTCTCTATATATATATATATATATATGGCTGGGATAACTGTACTGCTGATGTCTGATGGTATAGTGAAAGAACAATTAACGCTTAAGATTTTGTATGTTCTGACCAAGTTTGCATGCTTGTATCTGGTAATCTGAGCAACTGATTTGAAGACAATAATATGCAATGGAACAACCATTGGTGAATTCCTACCATCTTGTCTAGTGAAATTCTATGTTACCTCTAATGTTTTATCTAATAATTATTTTTGATTCTCTTTAATGGTTTCAACAATCTTCCATTCTTACATCTGGTAACCTGAGTAACGTAGCTGAAGATAACAATATGGAATATAACAACCACTGTTAATCCCTATCATTTTGTTTTGAAACCCTGTATCACTTTTCATGTGCTTGCCTTGTTTTGCTGATGTTTGTGATGTTGGCATGCTGCTATTGTTTTTTCTTTTACTACTCTCTTTAAAACAAAAAAAAATCCTCCTACCCAGGACTCTCCAACAACGCCCATTTCTTACTCAGAGGAAAAGCCGTGTCACTACCAAAGCCTACAGTGCTGGCAATGACATGGCAACCTCTTGCACTCTGATGCCCTGTCCCCGTTCCTGCCCGGCACACAACCTGTCTGGTTCCTGAAATCGCCAGTGCGAGGGGAGAAGGAGCCGTGGGCCTCTTCCATCCAGCACCTCTGGCATGTTTCACCCCCTCCCACCAGGCTCCTGGTTCCTCGCAGCCCCCCTTGGTGAGGTCTCTCCAGCCTGCCTCCTTCAATGCTCAATTTTCCTTCAGACTTTAGACCTCTCTTTTCTGCTTAATTTGTTCTTTCCAGCACAGCTCACTCACACTCTGCATGTGGTACACACAGCTTACATATCTGACATTTATTTTCCATTTCCACCACTAAATGGAAGTGTAATTCCCATAAGGACAGGGAGTTGTTCTTGGGTTTTTTTGTTGTTGTTGTTTTTGAGACAGGATCTCCCTATGTAGTTCAGGCTGGCCTTGAACTCACTTTGTAGCCCAGGTTGGCCTCGAACTCACAGTGATCCTCCTGCTTCAGTCTCCAAGTGCTGGGATTACAGGCGTGTGGCATCATGTCCGGCAGAACAAGGAGTTTTGCTTGTTCATTAAAAACAGTGGCTCACAGAATAGACATATAATACACGGCTTAAAAATTAAATTGAAATATGAGCCCTTTATTTAACAATATGTTTCTTCCATCTCATTTGGATGTTCCAGATTGAAAAGAAGTTCTCAGGAAACCCAGGGTCCCATATTAAGAGAAGCCGTGGTGTGCTTTCTCTATAGCAGGTGAAACAGGTGGGCGTGGCCACTCTGTACTCCTACGCTGGTTGTAAGCTGTAAACGGACTGCTCATCGCTACTGAGAGAAAGCCCAGTGCATCATGTTACAATCAGACTCTTCCTTGCCGTTCCTTGCTTTCAAGCTTGTATTTTGTACCCAGACATTAATAAATGCAGGTGCTCTCTGTAAAGGCTAATAAAAATGTAAATGCTAATATTAATAGCACATTAATTGAAACACTCCAAAACAGAATTGTGCAACCGTTTCAAATTGCTCTCAAGGCACTAATAGAAGGGAGCCCAGTAATTTGCATACATTTTATAGACTTTTTAAGTAAGTTCTATCTATGACACATCCAATAAATTAGCTATTTATTTCTATGTAATCAGGGTGTGTGGTTTATGCATGCATACACGAGAACACGTGTGTATTTGTGATCTGTGCTTGCATGTGTGTGCACGCATTGCTCTTTGAGTTAATTGGGGAGCAAAATGACAGAACTAGGCATCAGATGGCTTTGCAGTTGGAAAAAAATCCTTAGAACAGTATCATTCGGTTTGGTGAAGTCAAAGGTGATGCTACTTCAAATGCAGGGCTTGGAAGAACATGGAGGCTCCAGGTACTACTGCGTCCTGTGCAGTCAGAGGAAGCAGCCTTAGGGGACTCCTTCCACTCAAGCCACTCTGCCCCTTCCCACATCAGTGTGTCGTTTGGATTCTCCTACCTCACAGGATCTTCAGCCACAGTTATCCTGTTAAAGGATTTTCAAAGAAGAAAAGCTGAAAATCAAATTTAAAAAAAAAAAAAACCCTTGTTACCCATCTTCTCCAGCTTCACTTGAGAAAGACAGTAAGATCTTTAAAGCGATGTAACGACTTCCAAATCACTACTTGGTTTCAACTTTCTGCCAGTAAAATTAAAACTTTGCCTTACATTAATTGAGAGTGCATCTCATGGAGAAGCCAAGCGACTTGAGCTGTACAAAGCTTGGCTGAGTGATGGGGCTTAAGGTAAGCGCTCGGCATGTCTGCCTCCATGTTGAACCACGGAGCCACATCTTTTTTTTTTTTTTTTTTTTAAATGCAATTCTCTATACCTAATACAGTGTCAGATTCACAGTAGGTGCTCTGAAAAAATCTGTTCACTGGTGACCCCCTCAGGGATGTTTTTGGAGGAGATTACACAGGCCTCTCAGGAGACAGCCCTGGATCTTTCAGCACACGGGCCACTGCTCACCGGATGGAGCATGGGAGTCCATGACAAGGCCGGAAGCAGCAGGTGCAAGCAGGTACTATACCGCGTACTTCCAGCTGCAAGGCACAGCCATGCGGCACGGAGTGACAGCTGGCAAGGAGCTGTGGCCCCGCAGGGAGATGAGGAGCACAACAAAAAGAGGCCTAGGCATGCCGGTCTGAAGGTAGAGACCCAGGTGAGCTGCCAGAGCCATCCAGGCGCCACCCCCCATCACAGGGGAATTCAATTAAGAGCCTGTTGGGAACCAGCCAACACGGGCCAGCGCTGGGCCCTGAGGAGCCATGCTGTGGCTTCGGGACTCTGGGTTAAAAGGACCCCAGCGCTACCTGGTCTGATAGATGGCGAAACAGAGGTCTTGAAAACGTAAGGCTACTTCCCAGGGATGGAGACACATGCAAAGGGCTTCAAAGCAGTGTTCAAAACAGAAAGTTCGGAGCCGCTGGCCTGTCACATGGCCCACGCAGCTGTGGCCCAATTCCCCTGAACCCTCAGTAGCAGAGTGGATGAGAAGACAAGGAAGACGCCCCTCACTGGGGCTTTCCACCCCCAGTGCTTCCCTAGTGCTGCTGAGGTGTGGCTGGCCCTCCTCCCAGGACACTGAGCAGTGACCCCATCTGGGGAGGCAGGACAATGAGCAGCAGTCAGCGGGCTGGGCCAGAACTGGAAAGCACGGGATACAGGACGCAAGAGTGAGCAGGAAAGGAGGGGACGATTAGCAGGGAGAGACTGCAGAGCTTCAGAAATTCACCCAGGCGACTGAGCAAGAGGTCAGAAACCTGGTGAGGGGTATGGCTGGAAGCCCCTCTACTCACAGTCCACCCTGGATGGAGGGACTGGGGCTCCTCGGAGTGCAAGGGGCCTGTCACTTTCTGAGTTCCAGGTTCCACCCTGTACTTGTGTCATATTGCAGAGTGGGGACTTCAGCTAAGTGATCAGCCTTGCAGACAGAAAGACATGCTCATTGTATATCCTTTCCTCACCTACTGCAGAGCGTTCCCTTGTGTAGATGCACTGTGATTTATCTAAATGTTTTCCTTTCTCGGGCTTTATCCTCTTGCTGCAGCACAAGAGTGAAACGGGGCCCCTGGCTATCTGGGCCTGCATAGGTAGAGATTGCTGCAGAAGATTTTCTGGAAGTGGGGCCGGCCAGGTCAACTTGTAACATGAAATTCTGTATTAAACTTGGATAGAAACTGCCACATCATCCTTTTGGAATCATATTCCAACATACGGCACCGCCCTCTGGCCACGGGAGTGTGCCCACACACTCTGACCGCCCCCACACTCAGCGAGGCTGGGCATGTTTATCTTTTAAATGTTAACCAGCCTAGTGAATAAAATGCGGTACCTCGGAGTTCTGTTGTTACTTTGAGTCTGCACTTCTCTGGTTACTCACGGGATGATCAGCTTTTCACATATATGTTCAGCAATTTTTATTTCTTTGTTGAGCTGCCTGTGTATATCACCGGATTAATTTTTTTCTAGTACTGGGGGTTAGACTCAGGGCCTTTACACTGAGCTACATCCCCAGCCCCTTTTTTCCATTTATTTTGAGACAGGGTCTTACTGATTTGCTAATTTGCCCAGGCTGTGCTTGAACTTGCCTTAGCCTCCCAGAGGGCTGGGATTACAGACGTGTGCCACTGTGCCTGGATTCCCCTGATTAATTTTACTTTTTTTATGGATTTGAGGTTCTTTTGTGTATTATGCATATTGCATTTTAAATTAATTTATCATTCGTTATTGTTTCATTTTTTTTTGTCATGACTTTCACTTACAGAGGCTAAAAATTCAATAAATAATATCTATGTTGTTTTTCTTCTTCAACTTATGGGTTTTTGTAGTTTGGTTGGAAAGTTCTTCCCCCTCAAAACAAATACTATTCTAATATTTCTGTTTCATTGTTCTTGTAGTTATGTTTCTCCTAAAATGTTCACACCTCGATACATCTGGAATTAACTTTTGTATATGGTTAAGAGATTTAGCAATTGAGCTGTTCCCACATGAGCGGCTGAGTGTTACTTTGCATTTAAATGGTCTATCCTTTCAGGACTGGTTCAAAATATGTGCTGCATTCACCCTATGTGAGCTGTGTCTTTGATGCCGTCCTGGGGAGTGGAAACGCAAATCATAGGGGCTGGAGTGGAGCAGGTGAGGAGTTTGAGGAATTGATATTGGATTTCTGCTGCTCACAGGCAGTGGCTTTGCATAGCAACAGAGCTGTTCAGGTACTTCTCTATCATAACACAAGGCTGTGGGTGGCGTCCTGAGACCAAAATGAAACAAATGACTGACTTTTCATGAAGGAATATTCTCCAGATTACACTAGTTTGAAGGCCGATTCCCACACACCCTGGAAAGCTGGACATGATAGTTCAACAGAAAGAGCTTAAAGGTAGACCCTACTGTTTCTATATGACTTCTATGTGAGTTCCCACTCTGTGAGCAGCAGAAATTTTATCTCAATTCCTGGATTTTGACCCACAATCAGACATGAGGACCACTGAGATAGAGATAGCAGGCGGTGGGACAGGCCCACACCCTCCTGGGCAACCTGCAGGAGCAAGTGCTAGTTCCAGGCCCTTCTCCTTCTTCAAAAGACATTCTTCCCCTCTAGCATAGGCGCCTGAGCCTGTATAATTGGCATCCTTCATCCCCTCACAGTCTTGGTGTCTCACTCCCCTCCGCCTACCTTTCCTAACTTACCCACGGCAAAACTTCTGCTGACTTGTAAGGATGCCTCTATTTTGTACAAGATCCTACACTTCTATTTCTAGGCTGTTCATTTCCTTCTTTAATGTTGATCTCACACAGGGATACCATACACTGCTGCTAATATTCACTTAAAATAGTAATGTTAAATAGATTACCTTATATCCTTTTTCTTTGCTTGCTGTTGTCTTGCTACTTAAACATTTACTGTCGGAGAGGAATTTTGGAATTGGTTGGTTAAGACGCATGGAAAGTCATGTTGAGATCTGTGGGATTTAGACTGTATTTAGAGACTGACTTGTGAAGAGCCGTAGATTCAGTGCAGTCTTGCAATCTAAAGTGAAACTGCAATGAGTATTTCTTTTTCTTCTTCAACCTGGTCTCAAATGGCTCCAGCTGTGGCCGTTCCTCCAAAGCTACTCTTGCTAGGATCCACGGGATGGTTATGCATCCAATCCCAAGGGAGGTTTCATTTTTCACTTTAATAGATCCATGCACAGTGTGCAATGCCTCTGATGATCCTTTCCTTAAACATTCTCCTCTGCTGTTTCCATAACATCTTGCTGTCCTGCTTCTCTCGCAGCCTTCTCAGCCTTCCTTGCTGGCCCTTGCATGGCTACCTGCCATGTAAAGGACACATTCCTGAGGACTCCACTCGAAGTTCCCGCTTGCACTGGCTTATGTTTTCTGTGCAGATGAAAGTTGTCAGCCTGATGTCTTTAAGCACCATTCAAATGCCAACAATTCCTAAATTTATATGCCTAGCCCCAAATTTACTTTTTAAAACTTTTTGATTGACACATAATTATACATATTTATGAAACACAATTTGATGCTCTGATTCATGCATACCTTGGGTAATGATCAAATCAGATAAATTAGCATATCCATCACCTAAAGCTTTTATCATCCTTGAGCTCTTCTGAGCTTCACCGTCTTGCAGCTCTAACTATTTAGGTGCCGTCTCCACTCACTGAATTGGCTTTTCTGCCAATCTTCCTGATTTCAGTGAGCAATTCCTTTTCCTACTCAGTCGAAGCGAGTGTCCTGGGAGTCAGTGATCTGCCTCTCCCTTTCTGACCCAGCAGTGACTTCATAATGGGATTTCTACTATCAAATTAGCACTGGCTCTACTCAATTCTCTCCATCTTCATTTCTACCCATCTGGAGACGCACAGGGCAGCTACGATGACTCCTCACTTCTGTTTCGAATTCTCACCCTCCCCATCTATTCCCTACTTAGCAATCTGCATAGGCTTTCCAATTGCATCGTGCTTCTCCCTCACCACAAATTCTTAAGTGGTGTCCCACTAACCAGGAGGAGAGTAGCAGCTCCTTCCTGTGATCAGGACGCACCCTCAATCCAGACAGTCCCTGGTGCACTCTTATCTTTCCCCATTCCTCCATTCCTTCATCACACTCCTTGGCTTTCTTCCCTAAACACCTGAGGCCTCTTCCTCGTTAGCCTGGGACCCTATTACGGATCCATACAGCATTCCAGTTTCATGTACGTCAAAGCCATTGCCCAAGGTTTTCCTATGTTAAATGCTCTAAACTAAATCTGGGTTTTCTCATAGAACCTATTTCTTCTCTTTTACTGTGTTGCACGTAATTAGCAATTATGTGCATGTGTGTGTTAATATCTTTATCCCACATTATTCTGTGAACTCCTGGGAAGGAGGGGCATATCTGTTGTTCTTCACTGGAGAGCTGGAGGCTGGCTCAATGCCCAGCATGCAAATACCTAGGAAGTGCCAGACAAGCACAAATTCACCTA